TCATCTCCTCCCAGTGTCACATCTGTAGGAGCCTCGATGGATACAATGCTCTCTGAAGTGAGTGGAGTCACATCATCCTCCACCTGCTACGATATCTCCTGAATCTGGTCTTCCTCCACCTGCTGAGGAACTTAAGGCTTCATCATGTATGCCTTGTCAAATGTGACATTCCTGCTAATAACTATCTATTCCTGCTAATAACTATCTTTTTGTCTTGTGGATCCCATAACTTAAAGCCTTTAACTCCATCTCTAAATCCCACAAAGACTGCTTTTCTCGCCCTCGGATTTAATTTACCATCATTGACATGGTAATAAGCTGGACACCCAAATATCCGAAACGACTCATAGTCACTAGCTACCGAACTAGACCAACGCTCCAACAGAGTCTTCTCCTGTATCGCAGTGCACGGCAACCTATTCACGAGATGGCTTGCATAAACCAACGCTTCGGCCCAAAAAGATCTAGACAATCCACTCTGCGTCATCATACATCGCACCTTCTCTAGCAAGGTACGGTTTAATCTCTCTGCCACCCCGTTCTGTTGCGGTGTCTCTCTAACTGTGAAGTATCACCTAATACCGTGATCCCGATAAAGCTGCAGAAACGGATCACTCTTATACTCTCCACCGTTATCAGAACGTAGAGTATTCACCTTTCTACCTGTCTGCAGCTCCACTTTCTTCTTCCACTCCACAAAAATATCCAGGACCTGATGTTTATGCTTCATCGGATATACCAAATTTCTTCTGGAATAGTCATTAATGAAAGTGATAAAATAGTTAGCCCCACCAAGTAATGTGTGCTTGGAAGAGCCTCAAACATCTGTGTGAATGTAGTCCAATATACCTTGGATATTGTGAATAGCGGTGCCAAAATTTACTTTTGTCTTCTTCCCAAGTATGCAATGTTCACACAGCTCCATTTTGCAGGTCTTTGTACCCTTTAATAGCCCCTGATTCGCCAATACCTACAGGGACTTATCACCAGTATGTTCAAATCTCATATGCCATAAGCTGGTAGTATCTTCCTCTGTGGTAATCGAAGCTGCCATACCCCTGTTACTGTCTTGCTTTTTAAGTAGTAAATATTGTTTTTCCTGACACCTCGCATCACCACCATGGACCCCTTTGTGACCTTCAGAGTCGCATTCTCCAAGATCACCTTATAGCCAGTTGCCTCCAAAGTTCCAAGCAAAATGATATTCTTCGTTAATTGATGAACGAATCTTACTTTCTTCAGCTCCCGAGTTACCCTGTCACACATCCGGATCTATACTGTACCAATATCACCAATAGGGCATACGTGATCATTACCCATGAGCACGCCTCTTTCCAACTCCTCAAAGCAGGAGAACCAATCCCTCCTAGGGTAAATATGGTATGTAGCACCAGAATCCATCATCCACTCCGTAGAATCAGCATAACAAACTGACGGTAATGCAGAGCAAGAATAGCCTGAAGAATCCGTATCTGAATTGTCGTCACTAGCCTTGACAACATTCACTTCCGAAGCTTGTACAGCTTTTCCTTTATTCTTCCCAGCTTTATCTTTCAACTTTGGGCAGTCGTTCTTCCAATGTCCTTCTTCTTTGCAAAAGTGACATTGATTCCTACCAATATTTCTATGGCCACCTCTTGACTTCGATCTTGAGCGATCACCTGGACGACGGTTTGGACCACGGCCTCGAACTACTAATACATCTCCCGATGCCTTCTCGAAGGGTTCGCCATCACTCTTCCTTAATTCATAATTCACTAAAGCTGAGGTCACCTCCTTGTAGCTAACCGTAGTTCTTCCATTTATCATAGTGAGAACAAACGTATCAAAATCATCCTCCGGCAACGAACATAATAGTAGCATCGTCTTGTCTTCATCCTCAACCATAATATCTACATTGGTCATATCCGAAATTAGCTTCGTGAAGTTGTTAACATGCTCCCGAATGGAAACTCCCCTCTTCATCTTGAATTGGTAAAACCTCTTCTTCAAGTGAAGCCGATTCTCAATGCTCTTCGTCAGATACTTCTCATTGAGTGTTTCCCACATTCTCTTTGCCGACGTCTCGTTCATTACGTCATATCTCATTGAGTGTTTCCCACATTCTCTTTGCCGACGTCTCGTTCATTACGTCATAAATAAGATCCGGCGTTAAGCATGACCGAATAACTCCACAATCCCTACTATTCATCTTTTTCCAAACATTGTCCTCCATATCAGCGGGTTTCTCTTGTAACTCAAGAGTCTCCTCTAAATTTTATGCATCCAAGGCGTCCATCACCTGACACCTTCACAATCCAAAATTAATCTTACCGTCGAACTTCGGAACATCAATCTTCGTGTTAGTGATGCTCAACTCTGTATCGCCTTCGAAAGAGACGATCCCGATGTGCGTTTTTCTCCCATGTTATCGATCTAATTCTTCAAATAGGAATCCTTCAGTGAATCCTTCGAACAAGCCCCAAATCTAACCTGGAGCTCTGATACCACTTGTTGTGCGCAGCGATAATTTCGGCAGCACCTCCGGTGCGTAAGGTGCACAACAAGAGATTAGATCGTAAGAATTCTCGTCTCACCAAGGAAACAAGAATCTGAAGCGAATAAGGTGCACAACAAGAGATTAGATCGTAAGAATTCTCGTCTCACCAAGGAAACAAGAATCTGAAGCGAATATCTCAACAAAGTGAGAAACAAGAATCTGAAGCGAATATCTCAACAAAGTGAGATATCGGCTCTTCCTCTCATTAGTTCTAGGACTAACTTATCGAGGGATCCTACAAACTATTACAAATCACGACAAGAACATAACTTTTACGTGGTTCGGCAAATAGCCTACGTTCACGAGGCAAGGAGGGGGAAGATCTACTATTAGAGGGAGAGATACAACTAGAGTTTACAATCACTCAATCTAAACCCTCACATAAACTCTCAAATCCCTCACACAAAATCTCTCTCAAAAAGGGGATGCACAAACAAAGAACAGCTGCAAAAAACCCAAAGAATAGCTGCACAAAAGGCTCTGCACGTCGCTGTCAAAACTCCCCTGCTCACGCGATTTTTTTCCAAAGCCGCACACCTCTGCACCTGTAGCCGCAATTTTTCCCACAGCCACTAAGTTCACAAAAAAGCTCCTTGCACCGAACCCTAGGGAAAAACATTTGCTCCTTTATACACATTGTCTTCGGGTGGACCCCACACGCTAAGAAACCACGTCTGCAACTATCACGAGAATTCTACTCGTGTGGTCCCCACATGCTTGAAACCGTATGCTTTGAAACCGCCTAAGCCTCCCACACGTCGCTATCCAACAGTCTCTTCCCTATGCTTTAACAGTTGGAATCTTGATGTATGTCATGATGTGCACATGACCTGATGTAGTCCATGTCTAACTCTAGCAAGAATCACCATGAAACCATGAAATGGATCTTTGAATATTTACGAAAGTACTTCTACTTTGTGTCTTCATGGTTCGAAACCCCTCTAGATGGATACCTTGATGCATATATGGTTGTTTACCTTGATGATGAAAAATCTACATTTAGGTTTTTATGTACTTCTGCTAGTAGAGCTATGTCTTGGCAGTATAAGTTGCAAAACTGTGCTGCTTTGCCTGCAATTAAGACTGAGGTATTGTAGCAACCGAAGCAACGTAGCTGAGGACGAAATGCTCTGGACGAAGCGATTTGTGCAGGAGTTGGGTTGGACACAGGACGAGTATGTTGTCCACCAACTTATAAAATAGAAATCAATTAAATAGCTTTATCTCATATTTGTTGAACGATTTGAGTGGCGACATCCGTTGTTACTATGTTTATTTTTATTTTTCGAGTAAGTAAATAAGCATTGGTAGTAATAAACAGGCTAGGGGTCTGTGTGATGCCCACTCCTTTTATCTCAAAAAAAAAAAAGGTAAGGTTTTTTTTTCCATAATAGTGTAGGCTCCCACCCTCTCTCTAACTAATGAAACTATTCTGGTGATGAGGGCACCCTGAACTTATTATGTCTACTATCACAAAACGAAAGCTCTAAGCAAGCATGCAAGCCTCTCCTCTTCAATAACTTCAAGTAGACGGATACAACATCATAAAGTCACTAAACGCAAATTTTATTATCTAGTAAGAAACAGGGATTAGAATATCCATTATAGAATGATTAGTGCAAGCACTAAAACAACTATTAGCAATTGGTAAAACAGTCAAAGGTATGTCTTGATCATATGCCTAGAAACTAGATCTAGAAATGTGCATGCGTATTAAGATGTAGCCTATAGTCATATTAAGGCACATGGCGAGCCCGTAAAAAAAGGAGTTTCAGGGCGTGTTCATATTGCCTTGTATACTTATACTGACAAGAGGTGACTCTTATTCTCCAACTTACAAAAACGAAGGTTACATATGTGACATCTCACTTAATCTTACCCTTCAAAGAAGACAGAGAAAGAGAAGCCAGCTAGAAGTGGTAATCAGGGTTAACTCGCAGATTTACTTAAATTGTCAACAAATTTATCATGATCCCAGATGCTTGTCCTCCTTGGCTACACTGATAATGAGCTAAACAGCTCGAATTAAATTTCGATGGGTGAGGATTTCTATGCGGCCTTGCAGGCGTTCTGGAAGGGTTCACCCCTGTTAAGTGTTAATCATAGCTGCGAAATGGGATGTTATATTGGCTCGAAAGGCCCCAAATATTTTCGATGGTTTAATTTGATCACAAGTAATAATGCTATTGAAGTGGTGATGAGGTGATTGTACTCGCTATTCATTAGCGTTGCAAAAAAAAAGGACCAAAGGGAGGAGCAATTTCTTTTGCGGGCTGCATCTAACCACATGAAAAGATCTCCAATTTTGCCGGAAGCAACTTAAAAGGGACCTACATTAACATGGTTCTTTAAAAAAACTAGTATATCCAAAATTAACCTGTTGGGAAAAGTTGAGAGGAAAATAATAAAGAACCAAAAAAAAAAATTTAAAAAGACTACTACAATTCACCAGGATGCTTACCTTTCTGGTAGCGGCTAGCTTGCTAGTTCCAGGCTTTTGGGTGGCCATTGATTTTATGAGGCATGGCCTGCTGATGCTGCTGCAAAATCCCAAAGCTCCCATTGCCTCTCTCTCTCTCTCTCTCTCTCTCTCTCTCCTCTCTCTTCTGTGTGGATGTTGGCTTAACGGGACGAGATCAGTGCGCAGATGGAGATGAGTGGTGGTGCTCACACAACTGACGAGGCTAAACGGGTTTTGGGTTTCGGGTACGTTTTGGGCTGAATAGCACTTAAATACCCTATAGCTTCACTCACTCTGCACTTACGTAGCTACGCTTGTTTTTCGTGGTATTTATGAACTCTAAGAGCATCTCCAACCACAAAACTTAAATTGGTGTAGTTTTTACACTAAGTTGGTGTAGTTTTTATATCAAATCACTATTCCATCTCCACCCCATTACACCAAATTTTACACCAAATTTTACACCAAAAAAATATTCATTTTATTATTCTTATCTTTTAACATTTTATGTATTTAAAATATTTATTATTATAGAAAATAATAATACAACATAAATTATTGTGTAATAAAAGAGATATTTTATAAATTATGTGCTAAGTTATGTTGTATTATTATTTTTATCTAATTAAAAAAATTAAAAAAGCTAAAAAGTATTTTTTTGGGGGGTTTTTTGTCTTTAAGCCCTATTGTTTACCTATCTTTATTTTTAAACTCACTCATTATTAGTTGTATTCTTAAGTCCAATTCATTTTTGGTATTTGTCTTTAAACCCAATTCTAAAATACAATACTTTTACTACTTGTATTTATACAGAATGAATGTCAAAACCCTAAAATACCCCTTTGATTGGCCCCATAAATCCCAGTGTCTCTCTCTCATCTTCCCCATTTCACCTTCGAGGACGCCGCTCGGGCCCCAAGAACTACGAGAGGATCGAGAAGGCCGGTAAGGCCGCTGGTGGTGGCGCTGGCGTTTCATCAGGTCTTCGAGGGGATGGGACTTGGCGGATGCATTGCTCAGGTAGAAAATTTAGGTTTTTGTGTAGTATAGTTTGAATCTTTGAGGGTTTGGTGGGGGATAAACCCTACATAATTGCAGCATTTGGAGTTCAACCAAACTTTTAGTATCGATTCTAGGATTTGAGGAATCTTTATGCTAGTATTCTAATACCTTACAAGGATGTATGTCAGCATCATTTGAGATTGCTTGCATCTAGATATTATATTCTTCTTGGAGCTTAAATCATTTGTTAAATTGTTCCCGTTGAAATAAAATTGTTACATTTGAAGCCATTCTATATATTCAAAGTTACATTATTGCAACTTCCTAAATGTAGAAACACGAAGAAACCCTCTTTCATATCTGAGCTAATATTTGGTTGTGCAAAACTTGCTGTGATGTTACGAATTACTGGTCTTGTGATCAATAGTAATAAAGATTACTCAGTCTTATGATAGGAGGGACATTTTAATGGTAGTCAATTCTTTTAGTGCTATTGTATATCGTTTTTGTTACGCTCTTGCTGTTAGTTATCTTATCCATCAGTATTTCCATTCTAGGATGAGAAGTTGGTGTTGGATTTGAAAATAAGGCATAGTTTTCAAAGCATCTTCCCTATATTGTTATATTCTAGTCCAATCAAAAGTTATTTGCCAGAATTGTCCAACGTACAAAGAGTGAGTGTGGCATAAATGAGGTTGTTATGATGGTGAGTGGATAGGCACTAACTCTCTATTTGGTTATGTAAAGTCATTTGTTCATTGAATCGCATTTATCTGCTTTTAACTGAAGGTATATTTTCTATAAGTATAATGTTCATTGAACCGCTTTTAAACTCAACCTATTGTTCTTTTGATCCGCTTATATTTTGCTTTCAGGAAATCAACGTGATCCTCAAGACCAATTCCCCGGATGCTAGATGCCAATTGTGATATCAAGCATTTTTTGTGTACATATATATGTTTGGAAAGTGATTTGTAAAGTCATTTGTATGAAACCTACGGGACAGTTGTTGGTATTGGTTATGTAAATTCATTTTGTGGACAGTTGTTGGTATTGGTTATGTAAAGTCATTTTGTGCAATCATCCACTGTGGTTAAATTACTGGTTATGTAAAGTTTTGTATGCTTCTAAGTCATTGAAATTGATGGTTTATTGCACGTAAAGTTCTATGGTTCAGCGCACCAGCTACATAAAGTTTTCCCTCAAACAGAACACAATATTCTCTTACAGAGATTAGCGTGGTACACATAACCATAACACAACAAAAGGAAGAAAAGAACATAAAATTGCATATTGTAAGTATGACACGTTATATTGTAAGTATAGCATGTTATATTGTAAGTATAGCACGCTAACTTGAGAGTATAGCATGTTAACCTGTAAGTATAGCACATTAACCACTAAGTATAGCACGTTAATCTGTAAGTATAGCACGTTAATCTGAAAGTATAGCACGTTATATTGTAAGTATAACACGTTATATCGTAAGTATAACACGTTATATCGTATGTATAGCACGTTAACATGTAAGTATAGCACGTTAATCTGTAAGTATAGCACGTTAATCTGTAAGTATAGCACGTTATATCATAAGTATAGCACGTTAACATGCAAGTATAGCACGTTAAATTGTAAGTATAGCATGTTAAATTGTAAGTATAGCACGTTAAATTGTAAGTATAACACGTTAAATCATAAGTATAGCATGTTAACCTGTAAGTATATCTTGTTAAATTGTAAGTATAGCACGTTAATTATAAGTATAGCATGTTAACGTAAGTATAACATGTTAACCTGTAAGTATAGCACGTTGACCTGTAAGTATAGCACGTTAACTGTAAAACCCCGTGCATTTTGATGAGTAATGGTAGTGTCAACCAGCGTAGGAGTAGCGTCGAACGAGTCGGCGAGCAACAGAGTCGAAGAACCCAATTTTCAGCTCATGAGTCGACCCATAACTCATCATGAGTCGACTCATCAGGTTGAGTCGACCCATGACAGGTTGAGTCGACCCATGACTGTCATGAGTCGACTCATGATATCAAATCCTGTTGTCAAAAGTCTCTGCTGAGTCGACTCATCACCTTATGAGTCGACCCATGAGTCATGAGTCAACTCACGACTGAACATGAGTCGACTCATCGAGGGTTTTCTGGGTTTTTTCTGTGTCGGGTTTGTCTGGGTTTCGGGTCAGGTTTTAACTGTTCATATAAATTGTAAGTATAGCACGTTAAATTATAAGTATAACACGTTATATCGTAAGTATAGCACGTTAACATATAAGTATAGCACGTTGACCTGTAAGTATAGCATGTTAACCTGTAAATATAGCACGTTAAATTGTAAGTATAGCGTGTTATATCGTCAGTATAGCACGTTAACATGTAAGTATATGTGACGCCCCTGGGTTCACACGAGGCTGCAGTCCTCGGTGAAACCAAGAATGTCAAACCTGCCATGCACCACACCGTGTAATAACATGTTTCACCATCACAATTAACATATCTCTAGTAGAGTCAACAACAGGTGTAGGTACAAAAGCAAGTAATAGATAATGCAAGAGGTACTGATGAAATGAAAGAGATCAAAATGATATTTCATCATCCAACATATAGAAATACAAAGTCAATATCTGAAATGAATAAACTGGAGTTCTTATCAAATCTCAAATACAATAAGTCTGAGTAAAGGAAATACGGCACACAGCCTTTACAACATCTAGAATAAAGTCCTCAAACATCTAAACAAAGTCTACAGTGGAGCTCCAAAATAAAACATATCTAAAAATAGTCAGCTGAACGCTAAAGCGTGTCGCCTTCAACCTGCGACTCTCCGGGCTCCTGGCTCGTTACCTGAAAGGGGGAGGCTACTGGCTCGTTACCTGAAAGGGGGGGGGGCAACGAGCGTCAAAGCGCTAGCGAGCAACATCACAACCAACCCCAAGGGAGAGGGCTTGTTGTATATAGAAAGTACAGTTATTACATAATAGTTAAAATCATTATTCCTAGCAAATAATGGGTTTTAGTATTTAGGAAATTACAACACGAGCATAGGTACGTCGAGCGAAATAATCCAAACAAGGAAACCCTCATGTATATACCTTTTATCTCAAATTGTAAATCCCTAATCACCAAACCCAAAGTCTAATACGTGAATAATAAACTGAAAGAAACAACTCATCTCAATACTTAATCAAAAGTCACGTCAAAACCATATAAGTGTCAAATGTCAATATCACATAAGTGTCGTGTCCAGTCTAGGTAGCTATCATGTCCAAATCTCATGTAATCAAGTTATGTCCTGATTTAGATGAGTGTCATACTTATAGCTTAACAAATGTCCAGCGCGTGGTCTAATATGTAAATGTCCAACACGTGGTCTAATATGTAAATGTCCAACACGAGGACTGAAATAAATTGTAGCCCAACACGAGGACTTCAATGGATTATAGTCCAACACGAGGACTGAAATGTGAATGCACGTCCAACACATGGACTGAATAAAATACGTGTCCAACACATGGACCGAAATGATAAGTATCCAACACATGGATCAACAGTAAGATATGCCCAACACATGGACTATAAGTAAAGAGGTGCAATTGTCAAAGGTATATGTGGAAAGATATACATATCCTATACTCGCACGTGTCTCGATGTGCGGGTCTAAACTTGTGTCAAAGTTGTCAAAAGTGTCAACTCACATGAATAGACAAGTCACTATCATTGCAATGTAGTGTCAGATAATCGAGGCGACCCCTCGGACGTATAAAATGCACAACCAACACGAATATATGCACAAACAGTGCGGCGGTCGACCGCAGAGACCCCTCCGGTCGACCGCTCACTGAGCCGAAACTCACTGGGCTCAGAACTGAGCGGCGGTCGACCGCAGAGGTCATGTCGGTCGACCGCTCAAATAGCAGAAACATTCTGCTGAAACTAACTCAGGGCGGTCGACCGCCGCGTCCATTGCGGTCGACCGCGAAGCTGACAGAAGCCCAGTTAGGGTTTCTGTCGGCTTCAAAACCCAAACAAACTTAACGATTTCCATTATAGCATAACTCTAACATTTATACCAAGTCATAGGATAGAGAACTACAAGTTTTAATCATTTAAAATCTAACAATTAGATTTCCAATAAGACAACAAAAGAAACATGATTTAGATGTCATTAAAGCAGTAAAACATGATTAATTCTTATTTAACCATTTTCAGATCTAGATCTCATAAAGACAAATTCGTGGGT